GCGTAGGTAGGTGGGCAGACAGAACGTGGATAGACAGGTAGACAGATGCATTAATGGACAGATGGATAGATGGGTAGAAGGATAGATAGATAGACAGATAGATAGATAGATAGATATATAGATAGATAGATAAATAGATAGATAGATAGATAGATAGATAGGTAGGTAGGTAGATAGGTAGATATGTGACTGTGTTCTATATATCGATATGTACTATATGCTATGAGAAAATATTATATAACCATGTAACATAACGTAATACTAACAAACCGAACAGAGCAACACAAAATATGATGCTCTTTTCATGCTACTAGGATGTATGGTATCATATGTTATTCTGTACCTTAGCAGAATAGAAACTAGTATTGAAAATATTACTGTAAAAAACGGTAAATAATATGAGTTGTCTATTAGCCATGTAGGTTCTGCATAATCTCGATACAGCGCTCATATAATCATAGAGCATTGCTTGTCTTTCTTTATGCAACGTTAGACTACTTTGTCAATACTGTATGTTGAGGAGTCGACGAGGCCCAAGTGCGTTCGGCTTTGCACCTGTATATTGCTTCGAAGCTCACTTGTACCAAAAGACTTGGGCCTCAAGCCTCCCCCCCCCCAGGCTGCACCCCACCCACCCCGCCCCCCCCTTCTCAGGTCAAAAGAAAAGCAAACAAACAAAAATTATCCAAAAACTCTGCTCTCGGTTGGGTTGAGGAGCTGCAGTGAGATCAGAGCGTGTCATGAGATCCTGGGGATCCAAACAGAGGGACACCAAGATGCACCCGCCTCCTGTTCCTGCTCCCTTGGGCTTTAGGAACTTGTCGGAAGTACTCTTGGAGTGGCGCCCAGTATTCACCCTGAAGTGCTGCTATGAGTCAAAGGTTTCCTCTGCCAGAAAAGGGATAACTCCAAAGAGCCCGGCCATGCCACGAACTACAGTGGCCAAAAATGCTGAACAACATGTCGGAACCAAGAATGTACAGGGGGGCGGTTGTACTGGCAAACCTGCTGCAACCCTCTAAGCACATGATCTACCACGGGCCAGCAGAAGCAGAGGCCTTTAACTCGGCATCTCTCAAGCGCAGACAATCAGATCTGCCACCGTTGGAAAGGCTCTCTGATGTGTGCTTTCCCTGCGGGGCCTCGCGCAAGAAAGGTGCTTTGACACGTAGGCTGGCGAAGGCCCAAGTTGTACCTGAGTCTGAACCTATTGTTCTTCTTGTTTCGGTCGAGGTTGTTTGAACATTAGCATCACACCTTGTCGCCACAAGCATCGTGTGGGCATCTCTTGCTGCTCTCGTGAAGATGCCCTGCCATGTTTCTAGATTGGGAATGGCCTTCCGCTTCCCTCAGCCGTCGGCCAAAAAGCTCAAACCAAGCTGACAAAAGATATCGAACGCTGATCATTTTGGTCATTGAATTAGTCTTGAAGGGAGCAGAACACCACGACAAGGCCACGAACACGTCGACAGTTTCTGGTCTGCTCAGGCTCGTCTGTGGCCCAAGTTTGCTCTGGGTCTGGGTCGTGTCTGCTGGATCTTCGTTGGCATTCGGTGTGCACTGCAAATCAACCTCCCTTGGTAGTGATTGCTTCGCACTGCTTTGCTATGTCCAGCAATGTGCAAGCCAAGGCAGACTGAAGCCCGACATGCAGAGGAGCTCCACGGTCGAAATTGTCGAGATTCGTGTGACGTGATGACATCGTTTCCTAGCTGAGAGTCACACTTGCTACACTGCAGCCCCGTCGAGCGACGAACGACGCATGATGCTTCAGCTGTATGGATACACCACCACCGGTACACCTAGTCAAGCTGGAAAAGCAGGCCCATCAACTGCTACATTACATCAGCAAAATCTTAAACATGGTGCGCGCGACATATGCACGCAGCAGCGAAACTCAGATTGCTGAACAGCCAAGGCAGTAGCAGATCAGGCCTGGGACGGTGAAGCTCGCGAGTTTAACCCTCACCTGCAGCGAGTCTACAGCTGAGGTGCTGGTTAGGCTGCAAGCCTCGAAGCCTTTCTTGATAGAGCACATGTCGCATCGAATTCCACAAGAGGCAGGCTCGTGTCGAACAGTGGCCAAGCTTCCCACACATCTTCCAATCCTATCCGTAGCGGCCGAAGCTACAGAATAGTGCGGCAGCGCAAGGCATTTCGGCACCTCCTGGCCCAAAGCTTGCAGGAGTTCTTCTTCACGAAGGCGCAGGGTTGCCAAACCTGATCAGGTTCTGCTTGGATGGGGCGACTTCAGTGACGACATGGGACGGAAGAAGAGGGTTCGCAGGCAAAGGTGGATGCTTTCATCGACCTGCCCGCCCACCCACACCCAGCCCCTGCCTACCTACCGGCATACATGCATACACTCATACAGGCGTCCATATCTCAACACATCAATACGTCCATACATCCATACATCCATCCGTCCATTGATGCATGCATGCATGCAGACACACAGACAGACAGACGGGCGGACGGACAGACAGACACACGGACGGACGGACAGACAGACAAACACACACGCGGCAACTCCGTAGTCAACTCCGTAGTCTAATCCTTGACGGACGCGATTGTGCCCGACGCAGATACCATATCGACGCGGCAACTGATTGCTTTGCGGACGCAACGGTTGTACACCACACAAGCTCCAGTAAGACGGCTCTTCAAGCACAGATCCGAGCTCCATCATGCTCCGCTTGCCACCGCATGGGGACTTCAAGTGATGCTCTGTGGTTTTTTTGGTTTTCGGCGAGTGCTAAGGCTGAGACAAGAAAAATACCCATGCAGTATGTATGAAAATATGAAAATGCAATGTAATTGTTTTGGCCAAGTCAAGGCGGACTTCTGAACGGTGAGCGGATGGCGATAAAATTGCACAGTTTAGGTCAGTCTAGGTGGTGTGCGCACCAGATGTGCTTCTTCGGGCCCCGGCCCCAGGCCAGCGCGGACAAGTCCTGCAAGCGGCTTCGAAGGTTACATGCGGCCCTCGAGGGACGTCGATGAACCACTAGTGCATTACTATCTGCAGATCGACTGCTCAGATCTCAGTGACTTCGAGTGAACCTGCTCTTCGAAGGCCGCCGCACCACGCGAGTCCTGCTTCAGTGCCAAATCGATTGATCCCGCAACCCCTCTTTTAAAAATGAACAAATCATGAACCTTCGTAGGCATGGAAGTCTCAGTCATCAAGGAGAGCTGAACAGCAGGCTCCAATCCATCAAATTTCGCTTAGATTAATAGACTGTGCTCTAATTCTGACCAAAGGGATACAGTTGAGCACCCGGACCCACAGTGACTTCGCACCGCGGACCGAGGCTGCTTGCCAACGATGCTTAGTACAATCTGCAAAGATGCCACAAGCCCCCGGCACCTCCAGGACCAACGCCGGAACCTCACACAAGCAACGGCCATGGAGCGTTCGCCGCGTAAGCATAGCCTATAGACATCCTGCTCCCCACCCCGCCCGCCCCCCGAATCTGTGCCCCAGCCACCCGGATCTACCAGCTATTGACCTGCCCAAGATGAAGCGGCCGAGCTTGCGGTGAGCCCAAGCATGCGGCCTGCTTCAGGAGATCGTGCGACAGCTTCGCTGCTGCGAAGGACCAGGTCAAATTGGCCAAGTCCCGAGCGCTCAGCCTAAGCCATTTAAGCAACTTTACGAACACTGAGACTGAGCACAGCTGGCCTGCTGAAAACATGCAACCAGAAGCCAACGTTGCTAAGTAGAGCACTGATGCTGTCGAACCAGAGCTGCATGGCCGAAGCTATCGAACAGCTCTTTCGTCTCGGAGAACGTTTGGCGGGCCATGTACATCGCATTTGGGTTCCGGACATCGTATGCTTTTGTGCACAGGGTTCAATCCGGCACGTTTGTGTATTTTGAGGCCGCGCATCTACATGCAGAGCTCTTGATCTGAAGTTCACAAAGTGTCGGCTTAACTCGGCCGCCGACCCCCAGGCCAGACCGGGCAAATCCCCAAGCAAGCATGGACAGGTTGCTGAGCCTCAGCCCAAGGATTGAAGAACCTCCACACCCACTTCCACTTGGCACGCCCTTACCTGAGCTCCTGGCGTGAAGTTAGGGAGTAATGGCTTGGCCAAGTCCTCCGGTCACTAGACCATGAACAGAATAGACAGAGATGGACCGAGCTGAAGTCTGCAGAAGTCTTAGGACAACTGCCGGCTGGCTTTAACAGCAAAGATTCCTCCACTGGACATCGGCTGTGGGAGCTCAACTCATTGCTGGGATATGCTGCGATAGGGCCCATTTCTGAGTACATCTTCTGCACCGTGAAGCGCTGCATCGCTGTCCACTGTGCCACTCGTGCCCCCGCACCATCCCATGCCACTATCACTTTATCTGTCAAACTTCAAGACCCACCATGACTGTACTGCTGCTCGTACAGTCCACCACATACAACGTTCTGCAATTCGCTTTGTTCATGTCGGGGTGGAAGTCCTCGATAATTGTGAAGATGGGCCGCATCTGTTGCAAAGCCTGGCTTGCAGGCTTTGGGCGCCACTGAGCCTGAGAGACCCTTTGGACCACGGAGGCAGATTGGTGTGATACCGAGCCCAAGCTAGATTTCCGCAAGATTTGAATGAAGTCCATGCTCCGAGGATGCATATCATGCTACTCGTACGATGTCTCATGATGTCCGATTCAGCTGCTGAGGTGCTCTAGACTTGTGGCGCTTGCCTCTCGACTCACCGCCGGCTGCCAGCGTGAGAGGCTCGCAAGCGCCTCAGACTATGTTTCATCTCCAGACTGCCTTCAGGGCACGTTGGAACTCCAGCTCAGGGGTGACAAATCGAAACGAGACCTTCAACTACGGATGGCTGAGCTCTAGGCCCTGGGCTGGAGGACTGCACCCAAACGATACGGATGGACGGTTCATGTTCAGCGAGGCATTCATGAAAATATTGTGCAAAACTACACAGACGCAGGCAAACAAGTCATGCTCCATGCTCACCTACTTACCTGGATGCAGAAAACCCGGGTTCATGTAGGCAAATGGCTCTGCATGGATGGACCTATGGACTGAGAGATCCACCTGACGGCAAGAAAGCTGTCCCCGCAATGGGATTCGAGGGCTCAGTGCATCTTACTCAACATCATGCCAAAGGGACCATGGTTTCTGGTGCTCTATCCGATGCACATATCGGCATTGACGCCTGAGGCCATGTCCCAAGCAGAGGTTGCGAGATACCGCGTGATGTCGCTGCCATCTCAGCTAGCAGCTCCACTCTATGCAACCTCGCGATCCCTCTGGTGCATGGAATGGTGGAAGTATGTGGCAGTCATCACGTCGCATAATGCAGCCGAGGATCTCCTATGTTCATGGAGTATTTCCCGCTCCAAATGCGAAAGTAAGCGCAACAGATCTTCATTGCGAAGGACCACCTTGCCTTTTGCCTTTCTCGCAAACTTCTGCCAGCTCCAAGACTCGGTGTTGCACTTAACCAAAGAGTGCAAGCATGCATCCAAATCCATCAGTTCGGGCTGGAACCTGTCCACATACCGCCAGAGTGTTTCGAAGATTGCTTGAGGTCTTTGTGCAGCAGCGTGAGATGCGACTTCACGATGCAGGGCTGCACGCAGATAAGCTGGGACAGACGTTTTGCCTGAACCAGCTGGAGGGGCTGTGGGTATCAGTGATGGGGGTAGTGGCGATGGTGTAGATGGTGGAGGTGCTGGGCGGCGAGGAGGCACAGAGGGATGGGAGGTGCCGGTCCCGAAGGCACGTTCCCATCTCATCAAGCCAACTCCTGCAATGCCCAAGGGTCTGAATGAGCTCCGGAGAAACCCCAGCTGCCGCAGCCAGCCAGAGGCTGAGCCAAATGAGCACCCAGCTGGCACGGCCGCCATGCCCGCTTCTGCTATACTTTGCGAGAACGAATGAACAGCAGCAAACATAATGATGCTCCAGGCTCCATCTATTTTGAGCAGAAGCCCAATGCTTGCTGCAGCTGTGGCAACTACGGCTTCGATTCGGAACGGCTTTGATTCAGATCTTTCTAAGTTAACAGCTGCGAACTGCGAGCTCTTTCCTCAGATTCTCAATTCAGTACGCAGTTGCTCCCGAAAGCTATGTTTCCAACGGGCCTTGGCTGGGTGCACAGAACCATGAACTTGTCCTCCTTGGAAATCTTACCAGCTCTCCGCTTTTCGAAGTACTCCTGCCAAGCCAACCAGCTCGGGAGGTTGTTACCAGTCACATGGCAGTGCCATCACATGACACGTGACTGTGAAGATCCTCCATCACGTACACTGGTACACGAGTTGACTTGCCACAACCTGTCTCGCCTTGGATGCACCTTGGCTCCGACAAGTTTCGCTCGCACACAAAACAAAGTGCACTGGCATCATCAAAGGGCCAACAGCACGAGCGTTTGTTGCGAGTGCATCGCGTCCACACGAAGCTTTCACTTGGTGAAAGCTGCATTAAAAGTTGGCAAACCTTTGGTTAGCGACCCATCAATTTCGAGTGTCGAATTCACACTTTCGAGTCTGCACATGGGATCAAGATCCCTGTTTCGGCCTGATACTCCGTTCCGAATGTACATGGCGTGGGCATCTTGTCAGCAGCACGGCTGCTTCAAGAAAAAGACGGGCTTTCCTTCAAGGAAACCGCATCCATCGAAACCGCAAACTTAAGAGCAAGCTCTCAAAAACTCGACAATGTCAGAAAGAATTGTAGACTTCTCCTAGGAGCCGCTCACGCGCTTGCCGCCATAATCGATGCCCCAGCCTCGCATGGCTGAGGGCTTCAAGGGCTTCAAGCCTCCCCACCCCGCCGTAAGGCTTTCTTTCTCGTCTTCCTCAAAGCAGCTACACTTCCAAAGGCTGACGCAATTTGCAAAAAACAAGCAATTACAGGCACGGCCGCATCATCTCGATCAGGACTCCTTGAAACGTTACCCGTTATGGTTGGAGCGCCGAAAAAGTAGTTGGAGCATCTTCCCTCCTAGAGTTGTCGCCTGTGCACGGCTCACATGCCTTCACTACACTACAGCCACCTTCCGGGCTTTTGGGGGATGGTGCCGACAATGGGCCTCACTCACCTTACTTGGAGAAATTCTCCCTCTTCTGCGGCGTACTCCCTCGAATTCCGTCCTATCGCCTTACTCTCAGATTCGTTGCTTGGCTAACACCAGCAACAACGCATCTTGCAAAATATGAAGATCCGAAACGATCTATGGAAGATGCGCCGTGGATGTTCCAGCCTGGAGGCCATGTGGCCTAAATGTCACGTGCTGTCCCCTCAGACTGAAGCAACAGTGAAGAAACAAGCTTTGAGTTATCTGTTTCTCCTGTTGATGTGAGCAACACCCAAAAACCAGCAGGCCTGAGGTCGCCTGCGAGTCTTACCAAACACGCAGCCCGACCAAGCCCTGTGGCCAACTCAGGCGGAAGCATGCCGAAGGGAGAGGCGACCCTCGGACAGTACCGCATCCTGAACACGCATCCGACATCCAGAGTCGAACTCTTACTGAGACATACACGGATTATTCTGTCGTTTATGTAATTACCTGCTGATCCCCCAGTAGACCCTGAGACATTGAATCCAACACCAAGACGAGAATTCAGAGGCCCGCGAACAATTGAAGCTGCAGCCTATCTGCTATGGCATGGCTCAACTGTGCAACTGAAAGCGTGACGCAAAAAGCTACTAGCTTTTCAAGGGAAGAGATTCGAAGCAGGCAGCGACGACGATATTCATACTGACCTATGCCCTCATGCTTCAACGTAGTTCGGTGGCACACGGGAGTTCTGCAGCAACGAGGACATGAGTCGGAAACAAAGACACAGATCGCGCTTCTCAGGTGCACAGGACAGAGAGGCTCATGGATGTGTGGCACGCGTGCTTAACATGTCTCCGTGGATTCTTTCTAAAGTGATGATCGAGGTTCGCAAATTCCTGCCCACCAAAGTCATGATTTCCCGCCAGGTCGGTAGCACGGATATGCAAGGTACGCACAACGCATGTCGGTGCCACGGATAGGCAGCGCAGGCAAAACGCATGCGTGGACTTGTCCGGTCCTTTTCGGGATGCGCACCACTCAAACCTCTTAAACTTTGACAGGGTAGTTGGGAAGCACAACCGGATCGCTTTCGCAGCGCTTGCATGTCAACGGTAGGCCGAGTGATGGCGTCGACAGTTCGGGATTTTGCTAGGGGAACTGTAGTGTTGACGTCGGCGGCCTTTCATCATGCTACCGGTCTATGTCGAAACACAAGGACAAGAGTTCCATCCCCCACTCCTCGCAAGATTGCCGCGTGGCCGTGCAGATCAGTGCTGGGCTTGGCGACGTCTCGGAGCAACACACATGAGCCGGTGCCATCGCTTCCAGGGGGGACCTGGAGATTGAAAGCCGGCGCGAATTGCGGCGCTGTGGGACACGAGGAACCTCAAAAGAAACAGGTCCCTCGTGCCAGATCTCTTGGTAGCCACAATGACAGATCTCCAACGCTGAGTCGATCGTATGCTCGACGTCCTTGGCAGCCAGCTCACCCAGCTTCTTCGCCCGCAGCTGGCCCCGCTCCACCAGCTCAGGCTGGTCACTGCGCTTGGCACTGCGGCTGCGGCGCTGCAAAGCAAGCTCGCGGTCCTCCAAATGCATCCCGGAAAGAGTTCGGACGAAAACATACGAAAACTCTCACAGACAGATCGCCTATCCTGCACACACTCACACTCACAGAGACCAGTAATGCACTGTTCACAAAATTGAGCTCCCTACGGGGCTCTCCTGTTATGCTGTGTGAGCGTAAATATGCAGTGCCCAAGCTCCCATGCTCCTAGAGAGGGCATCGATGCCTCGCACAACGCGTACACATGAACCGACCGGTCCTCTGCGAACTGAAAAGCCTTCTGTGCCATTCTCTTGGCCTTGATGGCCCGGTATCCGTCGCACCACTCCCGCAGTTCCCCGAGCAGCTGCATGTTGCACGCGAACTCGGAGGCGCTGAGGCGCTTCAGAACCCCCTTCACACTTTCAGTGCCAGCTGTCAAAATCTCTCGATTCCAGCGCTCCTCCTTGATTCTGAAACGTGCAATTCGGCCTGGCTTTGTGAAAACCGGGGCCCCATTCGGGATCGGTTCCTCCAGCTCGAAGGCGAGATCATGAGGCGCGATGCCCGGTAAGATCTCTCGGCGCCCTGTGGCCTCCCCTTCTCCGCTCTCCTCGATGCCGTAGGGCACTTCGTCGGCTGCCTCCTCCAACAGCTTGTTCGCCGCAGACTTGAGTTCATTGGCGATCTCCAAGCCGTCCATCAACGACTGGGGGATAAAGAGGCGAGGGTTGTAACGCTTGCACCTGCTGCCTGCAATCTTGCACTTCCCACGCCGGAGCGCTGTAGAGGGAGATACTGGTGTAGAGCAGAAGGACTTGGTTGAATAGCTTCTTGGATCCGCTGTCGGTGTAACGTCCTTCTCCTTCAGCTTCTTCAGCAGCATGTCCCCGATGGGACCCATGACAAACATGCCATCATTTGTCTCCCAGGGAAACTGGTGTTTCTTGGCCTTGACAGCATCGAAAAATGACGTAGAACGGCTTCCGCCCAAGGAGCTCAAGTCTGTCAGAGACAAGCTCCGCAGTGGCATGGCCGAGTGAAAAACACGTCCTGAAAGCCTCAAACACTCGCTACTTCTGCGCTGTCTCCGACACACACCGCACTTTAATGTTGTTCTTGTGATGAGCACTCTCCATGGCCTTCTGGCACAAAGCATGAAAGACTGAACGATGACCTGCATATCCACTTTGAGTCTAAATGGCTGGCAAAACACACCCAAAGCGGCACCAGCATTCCACACTACTATACTCCGCGCAACCAGAACCTTGAACAGAACCGCCTGCTCAGCCCAGAAAAACCTGCCTCCCACACGCAGAGAACCACAACCCAACCGATCTCAAGCTGGCAAGCCGGGGTAGCAGGCGTGACGCGATGAGATTCGATGTGCTTCAAGATCCTTGATGTCAGAAAGCAACTTCAGGAGATGCACAGCAGCACAAGAGGCTAGCGACGAGTGCTTTCATTTAGTCAGGGCCATTGAAGAAGCCTGCCCTTGGCTTGGAAGCTGGGAGTTGTAGTGGAACCCCGGATCCAACTTGTTCGAGCATCTTGTCACGGTGCTCATCGATGGGCAACTCCTCGACGTGCGACGACCTGGACGCTTCAGGCTTTGCCTCTTTCAAAAACCCTGCTGCGTCGTTGCCGGAAAACCTCCGATGTCCTGGGACTCTTGGACAAAAATTCAAGGTCGGCTTCAGCGACACACAGCATTGATTGCGCCCGGGATGCTTAGGGCGGCTGTGAAGATTCAGCAGGCTTTGTGCTTCTCACTCCTCCTATCCTCGCGAAGATCAACCAGAACCCAAACACGGCAATACGTAAGCGGAAACATCCAGCATCCTTGCTACCAAGACTAAGCAACTCTCATGCGCCCGAGTGCCCTGCTTTTTGCGCTCCTCGTCAAGTTGCCGCTCTGTTGGCCAGGCCTCTTTGGGTGTCGGCTTCGGAGCTCAACCCAAAAAAGCGTCCCAAACATGCAGGCCACGGGATACCATCCTTCGAAGCTTTACATCTTGAGTGCCCGGGCAATCACCCCAGGGCGGAGGCTCCAAAGAAGCTCCTGCAAGACTGCGACAACGATACTTCAGCTGTAAAAATAATGTGTTCAGGTGTAGAAGTGCCATCTTGGCCAAGCAGGCAAATGCCCTGCCTGTCACCAAGTGCTGTACGAAGCACATCTACAACTGCTGCGAGTAAGAAAATCACATGATCCCACAGTCTCCAGCATGCCAAAAGTTCTGCCCGTGATGCCACGTGTGATTCCTGTGATACCAGCATATCTGCTTTTCTACTAACATGTTTTCAAGTTTCAACTGCCACGTAGCGTCCAACACCGTCGCGCCTCACGCCACGTGCGGAATGGCTGACACCAGAGAACCTGCATGCAGGCAGATGTCTCCCTCTGTCTGAAATCGGTTCCTGCTACCAGAGCTGACAGGCGGTCGATCGTTCACAGCGACTTTCAGCAGCAGCCGCCACATGCTTGATATGCCAGCCCTTATTGTTGAATTAACTAAACAGAAACCTCAAAGCCAGAATGGTTGCCTTGAAGTGCTACGAAAGCCATGCTGTCATGCCGCTGTCCTCATGTCTGAGCTCCACCAATTGATTCATGATCTCCTTGCCATCAAAATTTTAAATACCGAGGTGCATCAGGTCAACAACATTACATTACCACCAACCGTCGCACTCTGATAGCTGTACATGCCAAAAATCACGAACGACACCCCTTTTCCGTCGTGTGGTAGAAAATGCGGCTTTCCGCTGCTCAGCAAGCAGGTCCATAATCAATGAAAGGTCTTCCAAACAGATGCTTTTTAAAAAGCTGCAACTCTGGCCATCTCCTGATTTCAGCAACGAGATGGCTGGAGCGCAATGTTTGAGACAAGATGGCTAACATAGTCAATGACACCCGTGCATCCAGCCGTATCCAACCCCAAAACGCCCCGGCTCAGAGAATATAGAACAAGACATGAGGTTATCCTCCGCTGCAGCATCCGCCGCGTAGAGCTGCGAGGATGTGCAAAAAAACGACGTCGGGATATGGATCTGCGTCGAACCGTCCCATCGAGCTCAGGAAAAGTTGGGTTTCGAGAGGACCCACGAAACTCGATCATCCCAGGGCCTACAAACGCAAACGCAGCTTGAACCCCTGCAATGCGTGACCGCAGATGCCCCATGTGTCGCAGGCACAAACTTGGGCCACATTCTCGAGCCCATCTTCGGTGATTTTGCACATTTGCACCCCCCCATTGTGGCATTCGATGACCACCACGGCACCACTGGCCACCGGCGCGGATTCCGAAGAAGCCGGGCCAAGGGGCAGATCGGCGGAGCCGACAGGTTTTGGCGATGGACGCGCTGGGTGTGCAACGTGACCCAGGGCCGGTCACCGCTGGATATCCACGGTTCATGGGCGTCAATGCCGTGCCAACCCCCATGACACTTTCCAACAAATCGGGTGAAATGCAGCATGTGCCAGCTTTCCACGTAATTATCCAGATGCCCTCTGCTGACGAGCCCCTGTTTTGCTCAAAAACACACGTCTGCCACACCAGCGTGTTCTTGAAGCCAGCCGCAAACTCCTCTACGGTGTAATTAGTGCGCGACTGTGTCCTCCATACCAGTGCTCAACATGGCCAACTTGCACAGCGTGCGACTCGCGCCCAAGTGCAGCATGTGCCAGCTTTCCATGTCATGATCCAGATGGCCTCTGCTGACGAGCCCCTGTTCTGCTTGAAAGCGCATGTCTGGAATACCAGCGTCTGCTTGATGCCAGCCGCAACTCCTCTACCGTCCAGTGTTCAACATGGCCAACTTGCACATCGTGCGACTCGCGCCAACGAGCGCCAACACATCGAGTGAAGTGCAGTATGTGCCAGCTTTGCGCTTTTGCGGGCTCTGGGGGCGACAAAACCCTGAACTCCTCTGTACTGCTAGCGGGCAGACGGTCGAGGCTCACTTCTTTTCGCCTCGACCCTCTCGACTGTGTTGGCGTTCTGTCTGCGAACGAACGGGTTGGAGCAACAGAACCGTTTTCAACGGCACGCTCGAACAAACCGCTGCTCTGACTTGACGCCGTCAGGGCGGGTGAGGCGGGACTTGAAAAGCTGCTGCCCACGCCGGCAAAACTCGAGACGTAACATCGTCGAGCGGGTTTTGTCACTTGATGCACACGTGCACAACCATACAATATTCCTGCCCTGTGCACGCGATTTGAGCCCCAAATACACACACATACATACATACATACATACATACATACATACATACATACATACATACGCACATACATACATACTGTAGATGCATAAGTACATAGATACATAGATACATACATACATACATACATACATACATACATACATACATACATGCATATATGTATATACTGTATACACATAAATAAGTAAATGTATATCTATATATATATATATATATGTATATATATGTATAATTTTAGTACCGCAAACACACCAACCGATGTTGACATGTGCTGATATTTTCAGTCGTGTCCAAAAGCAGCAGTCGTGCTGGGGATGTTGGTCCTCCCATTGCCAAGCCGAGTCCCCTTCCGGGAACGACCTGACATGCAAAGTCCTCTAAGGTGATTCAAGCACAACCTAGTGCGAAAAAGAACCCAAAACATGCCAGCAGCACAGCTCCCAGGATTCGTACGCACCGGCCAAGTAAAGCGCCTGGCGCTGTACCCACGCATCTGCACAGCACAAACTCTCGCATAGTTCGAACTGTTTCTTGATTGCTGGATTCATGGATCTCAGATGACCTTTTCGATACGTCCTTTCCCAGCGCACCGCGAAGATCTGAGCCGAGAAGATCTCACGCGGCTCAGGGAGAAAGACCTGATCTGGATGGTTCAGCGTCTGCTCGCAGGAAATTCGCCCTCTCATTCTCTTAGGACCCATCCATGGACCCATGTCCGAAGTCTGCGTCGAGCCAGAGCCTGGGCTCGGCCACTTAGCGGAACGCCTGCGACATCTTGCAATATCTTGCAGCTTCCGGTCTGGTACGGTCAAGCCCAGCTGCAGCCGCGCAATGTCCATCAAAAGGTGAGCAGCCGTCTGAGAGGCGTATGCACGGAGCACAAAGCATGCACGGTCCCAATTCGATTGGAGAGTTTTGGAAACCAAGGAATCTCAGCATTGCGGCAAGGCCCTGGACCGATGGCCTGGAAGTAGGTCGCCACAGAAGCCCCACGTGGCGGCAGGCGGATCTTCGTGGGAAGCAGAGTGCAACTTGGGGCACGTGGTTTGCAGGCTGAGGCATCTGTAACTGTTGCTTTCTCTCGGCGCTGGGTAAGCAACCAACTCTGCAGATGACAGCACGTGAGAGCCAAAGATCTATGACTGCAAAAATCAACAACCGCTGAAACCAATCGATATGAACAGACCCTGTCCTCGGAGTTCGCATGGAAGTGAGTCGTGATATGGTTGTAAAGCAGCTCCTGGCCCCGGAAGGTTCTCAAACTCTTGGCACAGTTGGAGCTCCGACAGTGGGGAGCTTTCGGCCCCAAGCACCTTGACCTGGTACATCCGCTGCTGCACCTGGAGAGGGCTTAGGTCCCGCAATGGATTCTGGAATAAAAACTGCTTTATCTCTGTCTCGACCACATCTCTTGGCTGCAACTGGCACCTGCGCCGATGCTCTGCCCAGGGGCGCGCCGGGAAGCGCCGTGTCGCAGCAGAGGGCCTCAGGGCGCCCCCGGGCCCGCAACACAGCAGCAGAGAATAGCTCAAAAGCTGCTAAGTCTGCTAAGTGGATGCAGGTGTCTCTTGCTGTCAAGGCCCGTGCAAGGGTGGCCGCAAGTGTGTCAAACTCATGTTCGCGGATCATGGGCTGTTCCGGCCTGCCGCACAATGTCTCAATGAAAAACACAATCTACTCTGTGATTATAGCCGCTGAATCATGCACGACATCAACGGCCAGTGAAGCAACCACTGCGGAGGCCACGAAACGCACGAATAGCACCGCTTTGTGCTGATGTGGGCTGTTGATCTCGTCTTCCATCACGGGATGCAAAAAATTGACCTGGGTCTTCTTCTTCATATCTAAACTTCGTTTGGCATCCACAAACGTCTGAATGATAACGGCGTGCACACATCACGCTTGCAAGACCTTCCAGCCAATCAACTGACCCAAGAACCGCATCGAATAGAGCCTAAAATCTAAAACTCCTATGCAGTTCCTCGGTCGCCTCTGGTTCAGGGATGCCACGTACTCTAGCACCTCAGCAAGCCACCCCTTGGGACTCCGAGCTTGAGGTCTCGTCTCTTTGAGCTGTACGAGATTTGGGGATCCGCACGATGGCTGCAAAGGAGCCATGGGCCCAGTCAGGAACGGCATCATCGCTCTGATGCTCCTGCATATTCACAACATCACAACCGTACATAGAACACGGCTTGCGACAGAGTCAGCACAACTGAAGGATGCCTTGAAGGTCCGGTGCACCACGATCTCTACAGAATCAGCCTGATAGCTAGCAAAAGTGTCAAAGCTTAGTTGTAGTGCCGCGGTTGCCGTGGGCGGCTCTCGGTGCTGCGCTCTGCTGAGAACGCGACAGATTCGACCCCTTCTGGTGCTGGGTTGCTCTTCTCGTTCTTGCGCTTGACCTCTCCAAAATCTGCCCCGCCCTGCCCTGCGCTGCCTGGTCTTGCCTCCTGGTCCCCTGCCCCCTGCCCCCTGCCCCCTGCCCCCTCGGACTTATTGCTGCCAGGCTTCTAGAAGCAAGTGTTTTAAAAAGACAAGCCTTTCGTGTACAAGGCCCTGACAAGGACACTGCCGAATGTTCTTCCCAAAACGCTCTGCCAGCAAAAGCCGCAACAACCTAACCGCTCAACATACAACTTCTGCTGTTGTTGGCTTGAGGGTTTAAAGTTCAGGGCTCAGGGTTTTTAGGGCTTAAGGTTTAAAGCTTGCTTTTTAGGCTGTTGCTTGATGAGCAGGGTTAAGGGTTTTGGAATTACGTTCTGTAGTTGTAGGTCCGGTGGTCGCTGTTGTTGTTGTGGTGGTGGCGGTGGTAGCAGTAGTAGTAGTAGTAGTAGTAGTAGTAGTAGTAGTAGTAGTTGTTGTTGTTGTTGTTGCTGTTGTTGTAGTTGTTGTAGTTGTTGTTGCTGTTGCAGTAGCAGTACCCCTACCCCTACTACTCCTACTCCTACTCCTACTCCTACTCCTACTCCTACTCCTACTCCTACCTCCTACCTCCTACCTCCTACCTCCTACCTCCTACCTCCTACCTCCTACCTCCTACTCCTGCTCCTACTCCTACTCCTACTCCTACTCCTACTCCTACTCCTACTCCTACTCCTACTCCTGCTCCTACTCCTGCTCCTACTCCTCCTCCTACTCCTCCTACTGCTGCTGCTGCTGCTGCTGCTACTACGGCTGCTGCTGTTGCTACAGCCGCTGCTGCTGCTGCTGCCGCTACTGCTACTGCTGCTGCGACTGTTATTGCTACTGCTACTGCCACTACATGTTTGCTACATGCTACTACTGCTACTACTACTACTACCACTACTACTACTACTACTGGAAGACAAAAACAACAAAAACTACTACTACTACGGCGGCTACTACCACTGCTACCACCACCACCACGACGACGACGACTGTTACTACTACTACTACTACTACTACTACTACTACGACCAACACTGCGACTACGACTGCCACCACGACTAGGACTACGACGACGATTACTACTGCTATTACGACTGCTGGCACTACTACACTCTATACGACGACGACTACGACTACTACTCCTGCTGCCACTGGTGCTACTACCATACTACTACGACGACGATATGCACTTGGAAGGATGGAGAAAGCCCAGCCGACTGCTGGGATCGAGCATCGAGTTACCTGGAGACACTTCGTCAATCCTTTACCGATGAGACAGCAGAAACATGGCTGCACGTCCACACCACTACGCGCTATCTCGGGCTGTGTTTTGCACGGTGAGTCCTCAGGAAAACCATGTCATTGTAGGGCATGGCACCATGCTGATGGTTCTGGCCTCAGCTCGTCAGAGACGTACAAAAATAGTTACTGGCTACAATCTCCAGCCACGAGAACGTGGCGCGTTGTTCATCGTTCCAGGTGATGCTGATGCGTTTCTTCCAACTGCCGGTGGGGGACTTCGTGACCAGGTTGCAGCAAGCTTGAGCAATTTGATCACATCTTCGCAACGGATGCGCTGCAAGGACTTCTACAAGTCGCTGCAGAATTGCGAGCCACTTGAAGACCAAGGATTATGTGAGAAAGTCTAGTATTATTCCTCGGACTTTGCGGCCAAGATTGTGCATTCATCCGAAGACCTCCTGCCCAGGTTCGTCGTCTGCGAGAGGAAGAAGGACTTGGTTTATCTAGGACGGAGTGAAGACACCGACGAGGGAATCGAAGCACTGCCATTGTTAACCTTTCGACCGACTGTCAAAGCCAGACCGCCGAAAGAGAACGGCACGACAAACCACAGCGCAACAACAGCATTCGTACTCCCATCTGGCACATGTGGATGATTTCAGCAACAGCCCAGCAAAGCCTCCACACCAGTTATGACTCTTAGACAGGCTCTGCTCAAAAGCGCCGAGTCCATGACGCAAAGGCAGGGTTAGCAATGGCCGCCGCAGCTTTTCGAGATGCCGGCGTCCGATGGGTCTGCGCTGGTTGGACTGTATTCACGGTCGAGAACCTGGTTATGTCGTCTGGCATTGTTTCACTGTTGATTTTCATCATTATCGAGCAATATTGTGGTCATGCCTACCGTGTGGGTGATCAGGGTCAGTCTTTGAATATGCAGAGCGCCAGCACATACCCGTACTTGTATAGCTAAGCAAGACACTGTGTCTTGATCAGTGGGTCATAGTGGGACACGGGGGGATCTACATACTATATATGTTGTCCTGACGGCATTGGACTAGTGTATTTACTTGGTTGAATGTTGTTCTTGAGCATGATATCTTGGAGTGCATCTGAAGTTCGTTCAGTCCCCGAAGCAAGTCAGCACAAGGCACATCATAACCGTCACGTGTTTCTGCGTGTATACTTCAGCATGGGTCCAAGTCTGTCATGGGGGAATGGTGGAGCGTTACTCCTCATTGTAGATCATTCACACAGGTTGCGACATAATGCGGCATATGCTATTAAGGAACTCCTCGAATTTCCTGCTGAACTATTGCCTCATGTCGAGTTCGGCAAAACGCAAGAACCAAGGTCAGAGTACAAGGTGGAGATCAAGAAGTATTGGGGAGGCAGTGGTGGACCAGGTGCTTACCAAACCATGTATAGCTCCTCGACCGAGACGACGCTGCGGAATCATATCACTTCTCTAAGCCTGCATCTGTTCACAGCTGCCAAGTCAGCTCAGGCACACTTTCGGGACTTGCATCATTTTCCATCTTTGCAGCGCAACCAAACGGCACCAGCATGACCCGGCATTCCTCCAGAGTTCTGTTGTAACTGACATCTGAGGTATTGGCGCTTTGCGCGTCACGGCTTGGCCCTGCGCAGTCCCAGCTCGACAGAGCGGCTGTTGGCCTTTGGCTTTCGTGTGCTCGGCCTGGGTACACTGAGTGCCTTGACAGCCTACAGAAAGCATGTGTGCTGAATTGAGTGACTTGGATTCCGTCGCGCACAAGAGCGCGGGACATGCTGCAGCTAATGTGAAGTGGGCTGAATGTGCGGAATGTGGAATGCTCGTATGAGTTCTTCAGGGCGGTGATTTCCAGGTCACGTGCAGCGAATGCAATGCCGAAGAAACAGTTCGTTTTGAAAATTCCGTAGTTGTTCAAGTCGAAACTCTCAGGCTTTTATTCTGGGTATTGCAGGTTGTGCCAAATTGGGAAAGGGCGAGTCAACACTGAACCCCCCCACTGAAATGAGAAGTTGAGCCCCTTACCGGATTAAGTTCATATTCAACCGAGCCCCAGACATACTTGAAACCCCACTGAGGCTTACTCAGGCGTCCTATTAAGCAGTCAGGTGTCTGTTACTTGTCTTAAACCGTTCTTAGCCCTTACTGCTGCAAGCCTAAGCACTTAAAATGCTCTTCTCTAGCCCTTGTCAAGCCGTCGTTCATCCTTCTTTGAATCCTGACTGAGCCCGTGACGAATCCCTTGTGGTACCCCTGTGGAGCCTTTATCAAGCGCGTCCCAAACCCATGTTAACTTACACCTTCAGTGGCCCTTATTTGTTAGGAGAACCTGGATGTCTTAGTTGCTCTGGTCCTGGGCAGATTCGGCTAGATTGCACAGACCCCTGGACTCATGCAAAGCACGTCCCCGAAGCGAGGCCAGCTGATGCCTCCCATCAACCTCGGAGCGTTGCAGATCGCGCTAGGCCTGTATGAGCCGCCCAAGGACCCGAGTGGTCAGCTGTGCTTCTCTTGTCGCTTGCCGTTTCGTTTGCTTTGCGGGGAGGGCGGTTTGCAAGTCCTCGTCGAGGCTTGGGATGGTTAGCCTAAGCTCGTTTGCTGAAGCCAGCTCTTCTTGATGCTGGGCGGAAGGAGGCGCTGGAACGCCCAGCTCTCAATTTAGTGAAATCCCTGTGCCGTGCCAGGATCTGCCGCCCCAAGTGCGAGGAGTGCCTTGGCCCTTGAAGCGCTGGACTTTGCTACTGGTAGCCAGCAGCCAGGTCCGCTGGTTGTTTGGCTGCCTTTCCAAGGTTCTCATGTCTTACAAGTAGCTGCTGAAACAGTCAATAGCAATTCAAGTTAAGGCGCAGTCAGGACGAAGAACTGCACAAATGAAATCCGTCGGGCTGAGGCGATGGCATGCCCCTTTGACTTCAATGCGCATGCTGGGCGTGGAGAGGCGCTTCCTAGTTGCAGAATGTAAGGTGCAAGGATGGGATGTCTGGTTCAGTCATCCATGTTGCCTTCGAGGTCCTGTGTCTGTGTGTGTGTGTGTGTGTGCCCGTAGAGTTGCTGTGGCATACCTTTGGCGGAGACGGTGACCAAATAGTGGGGGCCGCAATGCTGTCACGTGGCATGCTGAGTGATGCTGCCCGCACATGTAGATCAAAGTGCAGACGGCAGAGCAGAGCAGTGGCAGGTCTTTGGCATCACTCGCCTGTCGCGGCGTCCTGAACTTGCTGGTATTGGCTTTTTCGGTATCGGCGGGGCTTTGGTTGCGACGACAGCAACCCAGGCCTGGTGTCCTAGTGAGCTCAACGTGAAAAGGTTACTTTGGTAGAGATCATCATCTGAGCTGATCAAGCATCATGAATATTAAATAGTTGAAGTGCTGCATACACAACACCGCTGGTAAGTGGCTGGGTAGCACAGCCAGGCCTGGTTTTTCCTGCAAAGAAATGTTATTTTGAGAGCTTGCTCGGAACCTCGGTGAAGTTGTCTTTCTTGCACGTCGAACCTTAAGATTGTAACCCGCAAGATGGCGTTCTGGGGGCTTGGCCCCGTCGTCTCATTTAGCATTCTCGCTCTGCACAGCGCGCCTTGGATCTGCAGTCAGCCAATATCAGCCGTGCTCTCTTCTGGTCACCTTCGGCGAATGCTGCTGCCATCTGAGAAGAAAATAGAAAAAAGGATCGCGTGCAACGACGCAGTGGGGAGATGTCCACTTGGAAAGAGGAGCAACTGGGAAGCATGAGAGGGCCGGCTGGTCAGAGTTGCTTTTGCCATGCCGTTGTCTGTTGTCTCTGCCGTCCAAGGCAGACGTCACTGGTACCTTTCCTAGCTTTACTGGACGGCCGACAGTCGTGGGCAACTTTTTACAACGAGCCGCCTTCCGGCACTTGCGGTCCCACTATGTCTATACCATGCTGATTGCGCCCTTCTCACAAGCCTCTCGGCAGGCTTGTCATGCAGAATCTGATCGCTGCTGCTCTTCTGGCATCCTTCTACAGTGCTGGGGGTGCGGTACGTCCTGAGTGGATGAGCTTCGGTAAAGCCCGGCTGTAGCAGCTGCGGCCTCTGTCACGGGGTTTCACGGCATCAGGCTGCCACCTGCAAAAGGTGACAGGACCTGCAAGGCCTGATAGGATGCCTGTCGAGTGGCAGCTTACGGCTGGCTGCCAGCCAGCCAGGCCGTTCCTGCACCAAAAGAATTGAAAGCCTCAAGCTGCTGGTGCTGCGAGTGAAGAGGCAGTCTTGATCCTGCAGCACTGCCCTCTTGCGCGGCTCTGGGTAGACTCGGATGTCCGCGCGTCCTCCAGGATGATCCCAAGTTTGAGCTCAGCTACACGTGGCCCCCGGGAGAAGACAAGAACTACGCTGGTCTGAGGTGCGACAAGTGTTGCGCCAGCACATCAAGCAGAAAACGACTAAGCAAAGAGACGTTCCCGGATCACGACCTCGTTGAGAAGATAGCTTGCGGGCACTGTCGCATGCAGCATGGTCCATGGCATGATGGTTTTGGGGCTCTTAGAGCAAACTGAAGCATGGCAGGTTCAAGACGGAGGAGCTGCCCCAAAAGGAGATTTGGGACGGAAACTTGGATTCGTGCAGCCTCTCTGCATCTTGAGGCTGTTGAAAGGGAAGGAGAGAGAAAGAGAGAAAGAGAGAGAGAGAGAGAGAGCTTCATGTCAAAGGGGGAAAACCAACACCAAACACGCCTCAAAGGGGGATGCCATTGTATTAGCTTTCTACTGACTGGCGATGGGCTCTTTTGCCTTTTGGGTCTTGGCCTTCCGTCCTGCAACAGTTGGCATCCCCCTCCCGAGAAGTTATCCCAGGGGGAAACATGCCCCTCGACTTTTACTTTCTCTAGAGGCGATGGAGGCTCGGGGGAATGTCTAGCTTGTCTTGCATTGCCAGCTTTGTACTATGACCTTGCATCCGTATGTTTTACCGGAAACCAAGCATGCATCCATATCTTCTTGAAGGCCCCCACAAGGCCCCTAAGACAGGGGTGCGCCATCCGGCGCGGGGTGCTTGACACGCACCTCAAGCCCCGGAGAACAGAACAGAACAGAGAGAGAGAGAGGCCCCTGACCCCGGCCCTCTCCGGAGGTGGCCCGGTAGTAGGGGGGGCGACATGCTACGTGACAGCGGACCTCTAGTGAAGACGCACCACCAGAGGGACTACCACATCGTTCAAGAAAGGGGGGACAGGATCCAGCAGACCGACCACCTCTTCATCGAAGGCGACCCCGACAAGACGCAACTGAAAGACCCGACTGGGAGGGGGACACCGAGGCCGTAAAGAACGTGATAGTGGCAGGGACACCACGAATGCGGAGAACACCTACGACTGACGACGACGCAAAACCCAAGGAAGAAGACGACGATGCTGAGATGAAAACCCGCATGCCAGCGAAGGACCCAGTCTTCGTGGACGGCGAGCGCGTCTGCCTTAGGTGCTTACTCGGAGTCGGCAGAGGAGCAGGGGGCAAACACTACAGCCACGACCGCGAGGCACCACCTTGTGTACTCTACCAGAGCAAAGCACGTGGAGGGGCAGCTCACAAGCTCTTGCGAGAAGTGGCGCAGAGACCAGAAGCAGCCCACACAGGCATCTTGGTGAAGCATGCCCTGCAACACAAAACCGGGAAGCCGAAGGAGACACAGAGCCAACGCCAGGAGACCGAAAAGCAGAAGGAGGCACAAAGCCAACACCGGGAGACCAAGAAGACCAAGAAGAAAGAGGAAGAGATGGCGAAGCAGACCGTCGTGAAACGACCTTCTACACGACTTCAGGCCACTACCAGCTCGAAGTCAAAGGCGACACCCAAAAAGCAGGAGTACCCCAAGGCCAAGACGAGACCCGACAAAAAGAAAGACCCGCCACTGGAAGACAGCAGCAGCAGCAGCAGCACTACCTCCTCCACCAGCACCAGGAGGCCTGGAAAGAAGCGCAAGGCGGCGGGCAAACCGAAGCCACTGGTACCCCCGAAGCTCACCAAGTACATCCCGCGTGACACTGGGGAACAAGAGTCAGATGCCGCTTTCTGGGACATCATGGACTTCGGGCAGAACGAGGCACCTAAGGGGACCGACCCCGTCAGCGCGGGGGCCGCCCCCGCCGAGCAATACACCTCTGCGGCGTCCTCGTCCTCTTCAGCACGGAGCGGAGTACCAGCGGAAGAGCTTGCTATCCGTGCCAGGGCAATAGCACAGAGAAAGGCCACCGAGGAGTACGACCAGAAAGCCAGGCTACAAAAAACGCCCACTCCAAGGGAACTGTTGCGAAGAAGGCCGCACCCAAACCAGAGACAGAGTGGGTCCCAGGACACACCAAGGTTGCGGCACTGCCACCTCGAGCCCGGGGGGCACCAGCTCCACAGTCAGGCCTGGCGCAAAAGGTGATCCGGATGGGCATGAAGCTCGACAAGTTCAACAAGCGTAAGTAGCTTGTGGAAAAGGAGCACCCGACCAGCGAGGACAGCGGCTACAAAGTTTTGAAGAGTTTACCTTTGCAAGAGCCGGGACCCGGCTTCCGTGAACCACACAAGAAGCACGCGAAAAAGTGGAGACACTCTCACTGCAGGGATACTGTCTTCTCACCCTCTAATTTGTACTCGGGGCACCCCTCTTTTCCTTTCCTCTTACCGACAGAATGGTGCGCCCACAACGAGCATAAGCCTCCTCTGGGCCGGTAATTTAGGCATGTTTTTGACGAGCCCCAGTACACACAGTTTTGCCACAAATTGTGGCGCACCTCTGCTAGCACACAGACACCCCCACATGGGGTACACAGTACAGCAGAGCCCATCCGTTGAGAATCATGGATGGGGCAGCGCACTCGCGCGGGACGGGAGGGCTGCTCCCGCCCCATGCCTCAAGCAAAGCAAAGCAAAGAGAGAGAAAGAGAGAGAGAGAGAGAGAGCCGTAGCCATTTTGGCTCAAGCCGCGAGTGGTTCAAGGGGAAGGTGGCCTCTCTGCCCCCTCTCTTCTTGTTCCTTTCTCCTCTTACTTCCTTCCGGGCCACCTTCACTCTCATCCCGGGCGCCTGCTCCTTCTCCGCGCCCTTCCTTTCTTCGCGATTGCTGACCGTTGAGGGGAAGATCCTTGCCCGCTTCCTGCCCATCGCTCCTGCGGACGAGATAGTTGTGCATCGTTCCCGGAGGGTGACCGCCGCTGTGCTGACCCTTGAGAACTTTGACTTCAACTTCGTCTTCGCACTCGGCGAGCCTACGCAGCTCCTACCTCAGCCTTTTCTTTCTCCGTGAGTGCTTTGCTGGGCGGGGGAATACCTCAAAGTCGGGATCGTGATAGTGGCAGGAACACCAAGAAGGAGATCCTCACACTACGCAGGGGACGACAGCCCTTGACGACGACTGAACCGTGAGAAGCGGTGGACACCCGCCAGCCTTTGCTGCACAGAGCCATACAGCGGGGAGCCCCGCCGACGACTCCCTCCACGATGGCGAAGCCGGGGGGACAACCAACGTGCCTCAGATGTATTAGGGGTAGCTCTTTCCATGGAGGCCACAACCGAGCTGACCCCAATGTGTTCTGCATGGGTGCGTTAGTGAAGACGCAAAAGGAGTTCAGGACTTTTTGCGCCGGAAGAAGATAGACGCTGCAGTGCAAGACTCCCTCCACCGGGGAGAAAACCCCATGCCAGTGCCTCAGCCTCGTGAGCCAGAGCCGGGGGATGAACCCAGGTCAAAGAAGCTGTGCCTAAGATGCTTGAGAGGGGAGAAAACCCACCACAAGCATGATCCCCATGCAGACAACTGCATCCTCTTTGGCGTTGAGAACCCAACACCCGCCAAAGCTCGTGAACTGCTCCTCGCACAGGACATACAGCTTGCAAAGGACGAGGCCCGTACCGCTGCGACCTTGAGCTCTACTACGTCAACTTCCCCCCCCCCTCCCCCCTCCCCCCCTCCCCCCCGACCGGCCAAAAAACAGCGCAGGCACCTTCGAGATGAGGCCCGACCACAGGAGGCAACTCCTGCAGGCGATGATGGTGAAGACCTGGATGATTTCCTGGAGGACCCGCTGCAGCAACTGTTCGGAATAGGCCAGGCCAGCAGACCGCTTTCACCGAAGAGGACACCAGTTCGCGCCTTTGCCAGTCCACCAGCGCTCTTGACGCCACCGCCGCTGACGTCTACAAGGGGATCCTCCTCTATCCCTTCTTCAAGCTCCGCTTCAATGCGAACAAGCCCGGAAAGAGGGGAACTTGCCCCTTCACAGCGAGGTCCTGCAGAACGAGACGAACCAGAGTGGGTGCTCCCACCTCCCACCAAGACCAAGCCTAGATCCTTCGGCGTTGTGCGGGGGATCACCCCTCCGGAGGCCAGGGCCGCTCCTGCTGTCCCAACACAAAGTTTTCCTCGGCATGCTCAACAACGCGGGGAGCCTAGCCAACCTTCGGAGAACACAGGGGGCAACCTTCTCGACGGTGTGAACAACGAGCGAGCCCTTCTACAAGATGACGGGTCCCCAGCAGGCAACGACCGCCCTCTTTGACGCCAAGACCGAGCCCAACCAAGACGATGCACTCACGGGAACCACTTTGTCCGTGAACCAATATGAAGCCCTTCCAGTGACTTCGGGGGAGAACCCAATGCCGAGCTCTTCTTCTTCTTCTCAGTCAAGGAGTTTACATCCCTCGGTGGATGTTTTTGCCGACGAGGAGTATGTCGCAGGGGCCAGTTTTTCCCTTTTACCTGAGACGAAACAGGATGAAGTCAAGATGGACCCAGATGGGGACGAGGATTATCTGTTCGACTACCAGGACGGCGACGACAATGCGGGGGAGAATGCCAACCACACGGGGGACAACCCTGACAGACCGGCTGAACCGACCGGACCTCCCTCAGGACTCACCCCTAGACAAAGGCAAAGGTTGCAGCAACTGTTGGAGTCCGGGGAGATCGCCCGCACGAACGCAGCAGAAAACGATGCGGCGACCGCGACCAGAGCAGGCAGGCGTACAGAACTCACAGGGGAATGGCAGCCAGACCAAAAGCGCGGCCGGAACGAGCTGGACTGAGATGCAGCGAGTGACAGCAGTCAGCGTGAGAGAAGCCCTTTTCTTTCTGTACAGGGAACATCCTTTGTGCGGGGTAATAACCTCCATGGGGGGAACCCCAGCACCTTTTCCTGTTTTCTTCATTTGGGTGAGCTGAACCCCGGAAAGAGAAATTCGTCCGTCCTTGATAATTGAGACCTGCATCTTCCTCACTACGGGGGAGATCCTCGGACCTGTAACCTTCCCAGAGCACTTTGCTGACAGAGCTACTGTTTTCCTTTCGATCCGAAGGTAGGGGAGTGCCAGCCCCTACCCCTCAATCCAGTTTTTGAATTTCGACTTGAGCTTGCAGCTCAGGGCTGTATATTAAGACGGGCCGCTGAGCCATCCCAGACTCCCATCCTTTCCTTGCCCCACACGGGCATCCGAGACCTTTTACCAGACTCTCCATAGGGCTGTTGCCCCAGCATGCAGGACGGTGTTTTCTGGGCAATCGGGGGGCGACCCCATCACTCCTCCTGATTGCAGTTTGCCCCTTTTGCATTTTCCATTATTGGCACCCGCAACAGTCGGGGGCGCACCTGCGCGCGGTGTAGGGGGTCAAACCCCTGCACCACAGCCCTGGCGAAAGAAAGAGAGAGAGAGAGAGTGAGGGCAACTCCCCGCCACAGCCCTGGCGAAAGAAAGAGAGTGAATTAGCTTGTGACAGCGGGGGGCTTGACGGTGTCCCAACGATGCATGGCTGTAGTATCGGCAGGCCCATGTCGGGTTTTTTCAGAATTGTGCTATCTAAATTGAAGGTAACTTAGCTGGGACTTGCATTGGTGCGCGTAGTTCTCACAGAAGCCCCTACAAACTAGGGGGGCTCCAGTGGCCGGGGGCTTAAGATGCCCCTTATGCCCTGTGTAAGAAGAAGAGAGGGAGTGAGAGAGAACACTCGGAGGGGGGATGGCGGTACGTATCAAGATGCTGCCCGGAGGGGGCAGGTTGCGCCCGGATGTGTTCATAGCGCCTTGTTTTGCATGGCGACCTTGGGCGCCGAGCAGCAGTAGGCGGAGACCCTAGGAGCTTGAAAGTACTCCGCTCCTTTGATGTCTCCGCTGGCACGGACGTACGTCGCCTTCTGGACTCGCCGTTGCCCTTGCTTCCAGCGAGGGCGAGCTGCCGCCTGTCAGAGTGCGAGGGACCAAGCAGCACCGCACAGCACCACAGCACTGCGAGGGCGAGATGCTCTGGAACCTGACCCGGACGGGAGCTACCGCCAAGTACGCTTCCGCTAATTGCCAGCGATGACGAAGGCCTGTGGGTCGGCAACACTGCACCTAGGACCCCAGAGCCAGAGATGGCAGAGGACATCGATCCCACGCGGCCGTGCGATGCAGCCATCGGGGTAGTCTTCAACTGTCTTCAAGATTTCAAGTCCCTTAGCAAAGAGGGGCTACGGGGGGTGGGAGTGCTCCCGGGGGTGATCCTGCGCCAGTTGCACCTGCTCCGGACGCCGCGAACGGTTCTAAGCTGAAGGCCAGAACAACATAGGGGGTAGGGAGAAGTGGTGAGGAACTTCAGGGGCACGATGGAGACGGCGCCTTTGGAAAATGATGCGAGCGAGCCAGCCAACCAGCGAGGCAAAGAGGCGGGGAAGCGCTTGGCCTGCCGCTTACAAGCCTAGTGGCACAACAACCAAGCGAAAGTGTAGCTGATGACATCTGGACGTCCAGACTACCGGATGTGCGTGCGCGCGAGCAGGAGACCACCTGCAGGATTTCCCTTAGAGCTAAAGCGAGCTGATGTATTCCCGGTTTGTGCAAGGGTCGGGTTGTAAGGGACGTAGCAGCTGGTGAACAGTTGGCAATATTCAACATTCGGCACTGCCTCATCCGGACAGACTGAAAACGAAGCTGCGGCTTGCACCTTCGTGGCTTCATGCAAGTGCCAAGGTATGTTGTCACACGAGACGGATGCCCCCAAACAAGAGTGAGGCGGTTGCACGGTGGCAAGCGGTGTCCTCATCCTTCCATGCTGGTGAAACTGCGTGAAGTCACCGGGATACATTCCGGATGGTGCATTAACAGACTTGAGAGGCACCCGTCTTTTTTTCAATTGGAGGCCTATGCCGCAGTGTGTAGGAACAATGAGCTGGGCCGCCAGATATGCCAGCAAATGTTGCATGCGTGGTGTTCCGAAAGTCTCTCAAACCGACCTTTCTCTAAGGTCGTGAACGTAAGGCTACCTTCCAGAAAGCGGGACCCGAATCTCTACTGACTCTACTGGTGCCCAACGCAGAGGTGGCAAGACTAGTGGGTGCCTTAATTAAAGTCGTGGTGCAATCGTCATGAATCAAAAAGGCTGAAAGCCACTGCTCTTAGGCCAACCCTACCTGTGCAGTCTTCTGGGCAAGATTTTCATTCTTCCTTCTTGCATTAACCAGATGTAACTAGTATGCTTGGCGATGTTAATGCCGCGATTGGGATGGAGTTGCTGGTAGATCTGAAGGCAAAGGTCTCGAACCTTGGCCATGGACCATCTTTTTCAAATGTGGGTTTTTGTGTGCCCTGTTGCCGAAATTTGCCGAACTTCCAAAGTGTGGTGACCAGCTGGATCATGCCATCACGAGTACCGACGTCATGCGGCCACGGGGCAGTGCTGCAAGCTTATCGGAAGGCCAGACGGCCCAACGTAGATTTTCCCGGCATGGTCAGCTAGAGCGGCATTGTGCGCAACATGAACGTATCAGATGGCATTCATAACTCGTGGCCAACCCTGGTCACTAACAGTACTCGTACCTACGATCTCCAAACCGCTTGTCCACACTGTCGCAAACAGCTGAAGCTGTTGCGTCCCTTTGCGAGACGGCGCAGTCGCGAAGCGCCTTTCAAAGCTTAGTATGCCCAGCATGCAAACGCAAACCTTGACGAGCTGTTCCAGCCAGAGTTCATATTGAACAATCCTAGCATGGCAGAACACGTAAAGGCTTGTGTGCGTGTGTTTGCCACTCTTGTCCGGCGACTTGGTCTGGAAGCAATTGTCTTATGTCTTTCACGCGTCTCGTGCCAGCTTGAGGATGCTGTGGGTGAAGCCAATGAAATTCTCCTCGGCAAGACATTCCAGACATGTGATTGCAGCAGGCGTGTCGTAGTCGTAAGCACCGCAAGCATTCTCGATTCTAGAGAAATTGAAGCGTAGGCTCTCTTAAGGCAAGGCCTTGCTCATGACAACATTTCGCTGGCTTCGCTCCCAGATTCCTGTGGCCGGCGTGGCCGTCCTCGCGTAGCTGTTGTGCGGCGCGTCGAGCTGTTTGTGTTGGCAATGCACATTATGCAGTCGCGCTCTCAACCTGCTCTGCAGCTCGGGAGCTTTGCGATCGCATCGGAAAAAGCCTAGGTCACGACTCGCACGCTAGACACCGGCAGAATCATGCCAAGTCTCAATGCTTAAATCTTAGCAGTTTCGATCTGTAGGAGCGTTAATGCCTCACGTGGCAGTCAGTGCACCTCCTGTGAAATTGAATGCAAGCCACGAGTTAATGCTGACCTGTTCAGGCGCGGCATTCTCTAGCCGCCCACCCAGAGGTTGTGCATTGCAACCCGTTTGGCGCAGAAACAAGCAGCAGCATGCTGAGGACGAAGCCCCGGCCGCTTCGAGGTGCATGATGTTGACGTGTGTTGCGGAGCCTGACTTTTGGAAGCAGCTTCTTGCTAGAAGTGCTCTCGGATAAATTCCGCTCACAACGATTCGACCCTGTCAGATCGAGAACGCAGAGATTTTCACGGTCCCGCTCTAGGCACCAGACACGAACAGAGTGCAAGGGCATCTGCTTGTGGTCACGGGAAGTCTTGCTTTGCCTATACATTTGTTACTGCGTTCATGCGGGACGTCGCAGCTTCAACATGACATCTTCGTCCCATCTCCTGATCTCGGAAGCACACCTGCCGGCATGAAGCACGAAATGCTGCCGCGCTCATCGTGTTCTGCTGCTGTCGGGGGCCGTCACGGAGAGCTGCAACGTCACATCAATACTGGCAAACGATCACAGAAATAACTTTATACAGGCTAGCAGTCTTTAAATGCGAAAGCAGTGCATCTGGAGTTGGTTGATGGTAGGTCACGCCGGCGGAGATCACGATCACCCAGGTGGGAGATGGTAGTTTCCTGCATCACTTTCGTTTTTTTCCAGGCATCCGAGAAGGGGTGTGTCCAAGATGTTTCCATTTAGACTATCAATCGGGCAAGACACAGCTTGGGTGAATACCTGTGGCCGATGCTGCTTCTACGCAGGAGGAGAGAACGAGAAAGGTCAGCAGCTGAGGTTAACGGACTTTCGGTGGTTGCAGCTCTGTGCCTGAGAAACAAGATTGAGTATGGACGTCACGTTGCAGCTTGTCCAGGGTTGCTTGAAAAACTGTAAGGATCCAGAGGGAAGCATGTCGTGCCAGCAGACTTGAAGAGTCCCGGGTTCAATCATGTGTCGGACACTTTTGGGGATATCAACGTGTGATAAAGCTTCCGTTTAGGCATCGGCAAAGTGGTAGAGGCCGCCCATGTATCATGCCACAGCTGCATGTAGATGCTTCTGGGAAACAAGGCACAGAGAGCCTCATCGAGGCCTTGACCTTTCTACCACGGCTCTGCTATGCCTTGCTCAGCTTCTAGTGTTTTTTACATGATCGGAGTCCTTGTGCAGGTCGTGAACGGCACCGCAGATCGCAGGGATCCGAGTTATGGATGTTGGGGAACAGCACACCTTGAGAACACTTCTGCCCATGTCGGGCCATGTCCGGATGGTGCATCGCTAGGGCAGACACCACGAGGCTCAGATTTGGACATGCTGTGTTCGTAACTTCTTACCGAACCAGGCGTCGTGCATGGGGTTTTGTTTGGAGATCCAACAGCTGGAACGCGGAAAAAAAGGGGATGGGGCCCCCTTCTGCTGCCGGAGCTGAGGCGGTCGGCTTCGCGCTCCCGAGGACTTAAGCTGTCGCGCAGCTTTTAGCCTGTAGGTGTACAAGTGCCCTTATTTCACACAAGAGTCACTTACCCATACATGTATCTGCAGCTAAGCTGCATGAGGGTTTGAAGTCACGGGACATTGGTTGGTAGATGTTGGTAGCTCGTTAAGAAAGTGATTGCGGAGACTGGACATGTCACATAGTGTGCACGCTTACTTGTGCTCTCACTGGCTGCCCTCTTTCGTGCTCGCAGGAGCAGGAGGCGAACGTCGCCAGGCACCTAGACTTCTGGAACTTGTGGAAGGTCGCAAGCTTCTGCAGGCAGTGTCTGATGCTGTGCAAGCAGTTGCAACAGCAGCCTGAAGGACCTGCAGTGTAGGTCTCCTGCCTGAACCACCAAGGCCGTCGGCGCGAAAAGGTTGAAGAGAACCCTTTGGGCGACAAGGCCGTGGCCTCGGCTCGGGTTACCTTGACTGCCCATGGAGACGGCGGCCTCCGGGTGCTGAGGAGATGCTCCTTGACAATGTGGTTTCATGCAGCCCCCACCCCATCGACATACGCTTCCCGGCCAAAAGTTGGAGGAACCGTAGAATTCGTCCAGCGAGTCATCATTGTTTCGACCGTCAGACTGACAGTGGTCGTGAGATGTCGTGAGTCGACAGCGGTAAAACAGAAGAAGACCTGGGCATCTGAGGCGGTTGTTTCCAAGATGGCCGCGCGCTGAGACCCTCATGTGGACCCAGCATCACTCGACCCTTTCGGACGGTAGAAAATCAGTGGCGACTTGCTTCTTCCCGGTCCCGTCAGGACGTCCGATGCAAGAGCTCGTCGACAAGCTGGTCTTGGCCGAGGCCGGAGATGCCGTCCTATGCTTCCCTGTAATATTCGCTTGATACTGTAGTGTGGGGCCCGCCTCATCATGTGCTATCGAAGCCAACGCAGCTGGCCACCAGGCTGACCCGCTCAGAGATGACTTCCTGAAGCTCCGGTGCGTGATCCACCAAGGATCCTTCGAGTCCCCACGTCTGCAAAGGCTATGTCGCAACTCGACTCCCCGTCAACCACCGCAGGACAAATTATCTGCTTGGATGCGCGGCGACTTGCCTGTGCGGGGCCTGAGTTGAAGATTGTTGGGCGCCGGGTACGATACAGACACAGACATTTGCAACTTTATTTAAGAAGGCATTTTGACTTGTGCGAGGCATGAGCAAGCCAAATCATAGTCCTGAGGCCTGCAAGAGTACGCCAGAAAAGTGCAGCGAGAGGTGACGATTCGAGTGAACGTCTCGCCCTCAGACTTTTAGACTCGTGCTCTGGCCTTCCGACAACGGCCAGCCCCGGTGCCCAGCTGCCAGCGGACAATGCCTGGCCCGTCTTGCATTGTCCTCGTGAAACCGGCATCTGAAGCAGGAACATAGGAGGCAGTGGACATGCTCGCATGCCAGAATTTAATGCAGGCCTGACTGTTCCCGAGACGCCGACATTTTCACAAACAACCAGGTCAACGAAAGCTGGGACAAAGATCCGAACGTCTCTGCTTCTTGGCCGCAAAGGAACAGCAACTCGACGCGTCTGCTGACACTTCACTGGTTTTGCAGCCTGCACGCGAATGAAGCTGTAGAATTTCTTGGGTGCTGTTACTCAGACTTACTCCATGTGCGCAACCGCTGTGCCAAGCCATCTGCGACCCGTGCTCAGAACTTCTTGAAGCACTACACGACTGTGGATGGCGGACCTCCAAAAGTGAGATGGAGGCACGCACCGGCCGGCTTTCCGTAATCCAGGGCTCGAGGCAAACATTTTGTGGCATGTTGCCTCTTCTCAGCGAACTAGTTACTAGTTTACAAGCTCGAAGGCAGGACAGCACTGTCTTTGCAACTTCGAGCTGCAGGCAGCAACAGCACTATGGCACCAATGCCACCTGGCTTTTAGCATCCACAGCCCGTCGCACTATGAAGTTTGCAGAGGGCAGCTGCATCACATGCCATGCGGCGCATGCAGCATGCTGGCCAGACCGGTCCTTGGAAACTCGTACCGAGGATCGTGACGGTCGCCGCGACGACAACGACAGGCGCGGCAACGAACATTTCACCCCGAGTGCTGCTTGCTGTCAGATTCCGATTAATTGGTAGCCATCTTGGCAAGCCTTGTCCAAATATCTGACCTGCAGGGAACGGCGTCAGCCAATTGGCCAAGGCCGCGGAAAGGGTGGCAAAGGCCAGGTTCTTCGTATTGCCAGCTTCATAGCATGTGCCGGGACGGATTTCTCAAGTTTGTCACTTCAAAAAGATGCCAACATAACATTTGGTCCATGTGAATGTGCTTGTGCGGACATGAGTGCGCGCAGCTTGCAGAGTCCTCTGTTTTGCTGGGTTTGGTCCTCGTCAGCTGAGCCTCTCAATTTTGCTTGCGCTTGTCAAAGACGAAGGAAAAATCACTGGCATATAATGTGACAAGTTGCTGTGGTTGCAACGTTGCCACCTGTTGCAAGGACAGGGCAAGAAGGGCAAGAGGCCACCACGTGATTGCACACCGCTCCGGACCGGACTCAGTGCCCTTGCCTTATGCGTCACGAAGGCGGAACCGCGACGGGAAGTCAGGCCTGGGGCAGCTGAAGCTGAGCTTCTGTAAGCTGATCCGTGGCGTTCAATTGCAGGTGGCGGCTGGAAGGGCCGAAAAAATTGGAACTGGAAGCAAGGACTGGTGTTTTGATGCAACGTAGTGGGAGCTTGGATATGCTAGATTCTGCAGGTGATGAGAAGCAAAGCTATGCCGCTTGATTGCAGAGTGCCGTTCAACCAGGCTGATTTGCGCGCTCTGAATGTTTCTTGCTGAGGATGGCGGTAACACTGCCGACGACGACAAGGTTCTGCTTCGCATGTTAGGTTGCCAGCCAGTCATCACCGCATGTAAGGAATTCCGTTTGGGCAAAACCGCGCCGTTCCTGCCGAGGACTCACGTCAGGGTGTTGATGACACAAACGAGGAGAGCTGGAATGACCCGAACTTCTTCGACGAAGAGGCCTCGCAGTCTTTTAAGAACATCGACAGTGATCGAGGGTCTGTGGTGCAGCATTTGCGAGGATTTCGTGAGTCCTGGCCTCAATCTCTGCTCTACACACCAAAAAGCTTACACGGGTGTCAGAGCTCGTGCGGTGTTGAACGGCTGATGGCTTGCCGGATCCGAGGCAACACTCCAGCTCCAGCAGGCACTCGTGGTTGCAATTGGAACAGCATGACGCTGTTGAAAGGCCGTTTCGGAGGTATTATCTGCACCTGAAGCCTGAGGCGTAACTGACCCCTCCGTAGGCACTTCTATTGACTCAGGACCCATGTCGTGCATGCAGTAAGGTTCCGCGCAGAAGCAGAGCGAGGCATTCCGTGGCGAGGCATGTCGTTATTGCCGTTGCCAGGGGCTGCTATCAGAAAAGCTCAGCAGAACGTTTGTGTCTGTTGGTATGTTGCAACAGGCGGGCTCCGGGTTTTGAGACTGATCTTGGGAAGGTCGTTCCGCGACGAACCAAATGGGACAATGCTCCGAAAGCAAACGTGTCGGCTTTCGATCCCGAGGCGCTGGCCTTTTTGGGTTTTGCCTTGTACTGTCAGCCTCAAACGAGCTACAGCGGAGTCTGTCGGACAGCTTGAAACTCTGAGCTGCAGGCGCCTCCGCACATCGGAGAATTGCTGTAGCTTCGTTGCTGGCCCGCTGACTGGAGTGCAACAAACCGAGAGAACGGATTGTAGAGTCAGCACAGGACCTAGAACCTAGTGACCTAGTGGTTGGCGGGTTCAGCAGAGAACAACAGAACAGTGAATAGTGACCAGTGAGAAGAAAGCGATCAGTGTCCGAGTAGGCTGCGTCGATGTTGAAAGCGAACTAGGATCAATGACGTTTTGGCTTCTTGAAAAGCTTTTCATAGCCTGCTGCGAAGATGCACTTTCGTGCTGGCAAGCGACGACGAATGCCGCATAGACTCGTGTGCATCTGAACTCAAAAAGCCTTCATCGTGAAATAAATCGAGTTTAGATGGGCCGACTGGCGGCACGCCTGGGCCGAGAGAGAAAGCCTGATTTGGGGTTGGAGCCGGCCAGAGGGAGATGAGGTAGAGGATGGTAGAGGCCGTTGCCACCATATGTCAGAAAACTTGATGCACGAGCCTCGAAGTTGCATTGGCCAGCTGCTGCCCCGATATGTTCACCCTGCACTTGCGGTAGGAAGGGTTTGTGAAAACGACAAGCTGACGAGCAGTTCTGCTGCAACATAGCCATTGTCAGTATCATTCACCTCCTTTGACCGTCTATACCGCTGGTGGTCCCAGAGGCGTCGCCGATGGTGAGATAAACAGTTCGAATCTGCTCTTGGAGCTGCATAGCCTGCTGAGGGGCTTTTCACAGGAAAACAGCTTCAGCTGCAGACTTTGGCTCTTATCCTCGACGATCTACAACTGACCGCGAGTTCCCAGGATAGTTCACTAGATCAGTTTGAGAAGTTCGCCCATATGTGCAGCCATGAACAGCTTAGACAAGACTTTTCTTTGGTGCAGGCATGACAGTAGGCGGCTGGTATTTCCTAAGTCAAGCTGGGCGCAACGATCCTTGGAAATAACTGCTGCGACTGGCAGCATGCAGCTACAGCAGACTAATACTCAATCGAACGGCAGCGACAGAGTGAGCGAGCAGTGCGTCAAGTCCAGTGCTGTAATGAGCCAAAAGGTGCTGGGTTACTTCTGAGGCACCACCAAACCAGGATAACTTCCCAGCAGTCGTGGGCAAGCAGTTGTGAAGTCTGGCCATTCAGACCGCCTCATGCTGGTGGACCATGAGAGAGGTGCGGTGCTTATGCAGGTGGCAAAGTTTCGCTCCGAGCCGTACTACTGATCAGCGACTGCTGTTTTACATGCGGTTTATGGTTTACGGTAATCCGCTGCTTGACTGTCTTTCTGCCTTTGTCCCGACTAGGAATCTTCACCAGAGCGCTGAAGCCTGACTAGGCAAAGGCACCATGCCGATCTCATGTGAAGCTTTGCAGGTCACCATTCTCGTTGAAAACCTTACTGGCTGCGACCTCGAGCTGTCTCGAGCCAGCCTCCCAGACAGAGAGTGAGACACTGCCAGACGCAACACGGAAGCATCCTGAGGTGGTGAGCCAGGATGGCACTCCCAGAAACCCACCGCCCGAGGCAAGCAAACAGCTGAGATCTATGGCGCGCGGCTTCAGTTCTGCAGGTTCTGAGCAGAGCATGCAAGCTGTCCTGGCTAGGCGCACCCGTGCTACGCGGCATGCAGCTGTTTCTTTGCAACAGTGCACGTTGCTCTTGCTGCAGGACGGACCAAAGAGGGCCAACGCTGCTGGGACTGTTGCGGACACGGTGGCTTTAGCTGATTGCTTGCAGCAGAGGCACTGGCTGCGCCATGGCCATTGAGTTCCGGTCGAAGGGCAGCGGGTATGCTGACACGAGGCCGTCAAGGCAAGACCATGATGGACCAACTTTGCTTCAAGTCAGGCAGCAATTTCTCTTTCGTCCTTGTGGCTTGGGATCAAGGAAGTCCTTCATGCTGGCCGTTCAGCTTCCGCGTCCATCGCAAGGCACCGGCCGAAGCATAAAGCCCTGAACCTTGGTCTGAACTGTGAGGCCGCAACCAGGCCTGACAACTAGCCCAAACGTCTCAAGTAAGCCTCCAACCCTTTTCGCGCGTTGGATCGTTTGCAGACCTTGCAAACGGCCAGCCCAGACTCGGCAGATTGGGCCCAAAACCCCAGAGTATGCCCTCCCTAAAGGCCAGCCCAGGTTCCAAACCTCTAATGGCAGCCAGAGTCGAAATGGCAGCCCAGAGTAGGCCCGAAATCCGAAAAACTGGCCCAAAGGAGATCCTAAACCGGTTGGGAAAGCACACTTTGCCCACGAGCTAGTATAGGGCTTAAATACATTAGGAGAGAGGGGTTTATTGAGGGGTGTAGGGGTGGGTTTAGGGTGGACGAAACGCACGGCAAAATAAAATGCAGTGGCCTGGCCTAGCGTGTACATTTTAATTGTTATCAGTTATTGTTCGTTTTTGTGTTGTTACTGCTGCTATTCGTACTTTTACAACTACTACTACCATTACCACTGCTACCACCACTACTACGGCTACGACGACGACTACTACTACGACGACATCGACGACGACGATGCTAGTGCTCCTGCCGCTACTACCGTATTAGCCACGTCTTGCGCATCGACTATTGTTTCCATTGCGAGTCTTGCGATTTTTGGTGGAAGCGATGTAAAATACTATGTTATTGGAAACATCTCCAACCTCTAAGTAATGACCCCCCCAGATCGTCCAATGAGTCCTCGAACCGAACAGCTTTGCCTGCAGAGTCCGAGTTGCGAGAGTCCAAATCACCCATGGTTTCTGCATGCCTAGAAGTGTTACCAGATGCTCATGTGTGCGCACTGATCAGAAGGAGTGGTCTCCTGGCTTGGAGGCAGGCGTGGTTCAGAGCAGCGGGCGTGCAGTGACTTTGTGCTGTAGCTTTGCACTCTCTGGGTTCTCGTTATACCCAAAAAGATCCATTCATGTTGCACGGCCTAACCTTCCTACGCAGACGTATGCAGCTTGAGGACATATTCAGCTCGTTTTCAGTACCGAGATTGGTGTCACTGTGTATAAATAAGAGTTTACATAGGCATGGTGCATGTAAGAAGCAGTTTGGTCGCCAGCCTGTCATACAGGCTGATTATTGCTTCCATACTACAGAATCGTACAGAACGCGTTGCTTGTGCACATCCTTTGTGTGCTGCCAGCTCTCTCAAGTCCTGGTGGAGACGTGCCGAAGTTCGCAGCACGCTTGCAGGAGCAAGCGCCGTCGCGGTACGATGTGAGCCTTGACACTTGTCGTGTACGTGTCCGAAGATTTGTCTGCACGGTGAGGACCTCGCTCCTGGGCAGAGCCCAGGTGATGTCCGGCAGCTGCTGGAACAGGTCGGGCCTCTAGAACGGGGCTGTAGCCAGAAGTTGACCCCAATTTAGCTTCTCATCCGTAGCCATTTTGGCTCAAGGCATTTCGGCTTGAATCCTCTTTCTGGTCAGGGCTTTGAGTGCAGGGGTTTTCGCATGGCTGAACAACTGGTCGTAGCTCACCCAGAAGGGCCATTGGCAGATGATACCTCCCCAAAGCGAGCCAGACTGGCTGCGGGCCTAGCAGAGCAAGCGCCGGGGTTTCATGATGACGATGATCCTGATATTTTATTAGATGAGATGGTGCGGCAACAGCAGCGGACGCAGCAACAGCAGATGATGCAGGCACCCCCTTGGGCAATAGCGCTGCAAGCATCTATGGAGGGAGGCATTCAGAGGGTTGGAGACATGGTACAGGGCTTATCCTCTCGACTTTCGCACGTTGAGAACGACAGGGCACAGGACGTGGACAAGATCAACACCCTCTTTCGGAAGGTTGATGAGTTATCCAAGTTGGTTGCCGGTCAAAGTTCCAAGCCGGAAAGTTCCTCACCCGAACCGTCTTCCCACAGGACGAGAGTAGAGGCTCCTGGAGCGGATCCCTGGGCCAGATACAAGCCCGGAGCCAATCAGCAAAGGCCTACGGTTGAGCCACTCAGCCCCTACTCCGACACCGATTACAATCACGTGATTTTGGGGGGTTGGGATTTCGACACTCCCAGGCGCATCATCATATCAGATGTTGAGCGGGTCCTGTCTGCCTTTACGCCTGAACAGAGAACCTTCATCAGACGTCATGTTGTCTTCGGCCAGCGAGCTCAGACTGCTCACCTTTTTCTCAAAGAGATGACGGATCCGCAGCAATCGGCTGAGCGATTCTACTCCCTGCAAGGAGACCACAACAAGGTGCATCGGACAACCGGTGGATCGGACATCTGGTTTTCCCCGTCCCGCACAGAAGAACGCCGTTTGAAGAACCGAATCACCACTTTAGCTGGGGAGACAGTACTTCGGCTTCTGTCGACAGAGTCCTCCAAGCCTGTGATCGAGTACAACTACCAGAAGCAGCTAGTGTGGGCCGACGGGGCGCGAATCGCTGCCGTCACCAGTGAGCTCTTGTTCGCCAGACCAGAGGATCGCATTTCTACGAGTACCATTACTGATTCCAAGGGTGAGGGGATGAAGTTTTACTTCAACTTGTCAGTCTTGTGCTCAAAAACCAATAAACCAGCAGCCGAGATGGAAATTCAATTGCATGAGTCACAAGCAGCGGCATCCTGACAAATACGTGGTTTCTGCATGCTTTACACTGAAAGCTGGAACATACAGGGCAAGAACATGGATTGTATTTCCCATTGGCTAAAGGCCTGTGACCCGTGTATAGATGTGTTGGCACTTCAAGAAGTTGGTGGAATCAAGAATCTTCAAGTTGCGCAATGCTCTGAGGCTCACGATGGGAATAGCTTGCCAGAATTCGTTTTTCCTGATGATGAGTTAGATGATTATTATGTATTCGGTACAGATACCTTAGAGTCGCATTTGGGACAGATGATCCTTATTTCCAGGGATGCTGCTGAGTGTATTCTTTCAACATACCATGGCGAAAGGGTGATTGGAGTCCAGTACCGTGACACTGAGGGAAAGCATTTATGGGTTTTTTCCGTTCACATGCCGCATCAAGACAATTCAGACGACGCTTATCTCCATGCGATACACGAACTCAGATCCCTTGCTCATGCACACAAAGACCATTCGGTCATCGTTGCTGGAGATTTCAATGCAGATGTTGGTTCGGCACGCGCCTTGTCCCTAGAGGAAGCCTTTGGATACAGCAGGTACACAGTAAGACGCCCGGATGGCCCTACCAGGTTTGGCAAGGTCAGCAATGCTCAGCTGGACTTCGTATTCATCAGCCAGCCTCTTCGAGTTTGCCTGCTGGAAGACCACAGCAAGCTCTCTGTAGTCTCTGGGTCCCGAAGGGAGATTGGTAGTGACCACGACCGGATTGCTTATGAATTGGTGTTTGGTCGTAGGCTTAGCTCCGGACCTAGACATCGGAACCGAGGTGCGAGAAGTAGGTGCGGCAGATATTCAGTCAAGGATTCTCTCAAGATGGGTATCCAATGTTGTATCGGGTTCGAGGCCTTGGATCTTGCCGGAAAGTGGGAGACCTTGAAGCAGTTCCAAACTCGTTATACCTACCGGACACCATCCCATAAGTTCAAAGACAGTCCGTATTTGAAGTCTCTCTGTATGGACCGCAGATGCTGCTCTGACGTGGAGCATAAGGCAGTCTTGACGAGAGCCATCGTCGCGCGCAGAGCTCATGAGAAGGCTGACTGGTTGCAAAAACTTGAGCACAGCGCTTCCAGCGGCAATGCCTATGCCATCAGATACCTTCGCAAGCGAGTGCGTCACCCAAGCCCTTGGGATGGTCTGGTTAAGGATGCAGGTAGCAAATCTGCTGCTGCAGGTTCTATCCAGACGCACTTTCAAAAACTGTTTCAGCCGCCTGTCCCACTAGAAGACCAGGAAGCTTGTGATTGTATCATGCGAGAGCTCCAGCTCGCAGCCAGCTCGGAAGCGTTGAAGCCTTTTACGTGGCCTGAGGTCGCAGCAGCAGTGAACAGATTAAAACTGGGGAAATCCACCGGCATGACTGGCATCTCCTGTGAACTTATTTCGGCTATGTGGCAAGTAGTACCTGAGGGACAAAATATGGTGGTTTCCCTTTGTAACTCCCTTTTACAGGAAGAGCAACACCCTCCTGAACTACATCAATCGCTCGTGGCGCTGCTACCCAAGCTACCTGTCATCCAAGCGACGAACCAGATAAGACCCATCAACTTGGTCGAAGTGTGCCACAAGATGTACTCATTCCTCTTACTGCAGCGCCTCCGGCCTACTTGGCCTTCCCCGGCTGCACAACACGGTGCAGTCCGCGGAGGACAGGTTCTTGATGCCTTAGCCTCTGCTCACTGGTGGATAGCCCACGAGTCCATTTCCCAGATGCACGGACGGGTCTGGCTCAACGCCGACCTCACGGCTGCCTTTGACTCGCTCTGTCATCGCTCACTCTTGCAGTTCGTGCAGGCTCATACTCAAGACGGCTGTCATCATGAAGCCCTTCGTCTAATGCAGATAGTTATGCGTCCTCAGTTGCATTTCATTTGGCAGCAGTTTCAATGGGACATGGGGCAATCCAGTGGAGTTCAACAGGGACATTCGCACTCTGCAATCCTGTTTGCATATGTTGTGGGACATATTTTGGAGGATCTCTTTAAAGAGTGGCGAGAACGAGGAGAAGACACTACAACTAGGGATTGGGGTTGGTTGTTCGTTGATGACTTATTGTGCTCCTTTGAC